CTTCGACCAAAAAGCAAAAAATTTTGCATGACCGGGGTGTCGAACCAAAGACCCTCCGCCCCAGGGGCAGGCTAGTTAGCCACTACACCACTCGACAGGCGGACACCCGTCCTTGGAAGGGGCTCATAAGGGAGGGCGGAACATGTGCTGAAAACTTAAAATGCTCATAACTTTTTTGTATTAAGCGTTTTGCAAATTCTGATTGCAGTTTCGGAATCCCCGTCGCCGACTCTATCAGACCCATATTTTTGCTAAGCGATTTTCCGGATTTTTTATTTGCACTTCCCTAGTCAGACCTAATTATCCTAGCGCAACGCTGTCTCTGACGCCGCAGTCCAAAGAATGGATCCTTGACTCAGGTACCTGCACCGCAGACCCAAAAAAAGAAGGTATTCAAATTCATGGTTTCCGGACGGGGTCCAGTGGAAAAGAGCCGCGAAGCGGTCTTTTTCCACTGGTTAAACATAAGGAAGGTTTGAGTAAAGAGAAGAGTTAGCACGTCTGATATACCAATGGGGTCCGACGTAAGAATGCCCACTGGTTTGGTCGTAATTCACGCCTCTCGGCGCCTAGCTAGGTGGCATACGATACCCAGCGAGAAGGCCGTATCAGCAAGGCGGTTATCTAACGACCTGAACGTATGCCGATAACCTCTTTAACCAGATCACGATACGGCGAAAATAGTAAAAATATTTATTAGCTATAGTAACGCTTCTGGCTAATAGTACAGGGTGAGGCATATATATGGCAACACTTTCCCGGGTCTCTCAAATTATCAAGAAAGCTGGCTGGGCTTCAATAATTTGCTGAAATATAGCCACCAGTGTCCTGTAACCACTCTTAAAATATTAGAACGCAGCAACCCTATAAACTTTTGTTCTGAAGCAAAAACTGTGCGTCGTAAGGGTGGAGCTGGCACGGAACCCCTTGGAAGCCAATTTCAGCATGGTTCGAAAACATCGTTTTGGGTACGAATGACCCATAAAAACATGTGTACTACCTAGTAGTGACAGATAAAAGTAATCAAACCAATTAATTTCCTTTAGTAGGCAGAAATTTTAGAATTATTCTCGGCTGGTCCCAAAAATCATAGTAAAAAAAGTAAAATCCCCTTTTTTTTGATCTTTATTGAATGAATCTTTGAATTGCTTGGTTTCAACGCCCGAAAGTGGTTCAATCCAATGCCTAAAATGTAAAAAAATTGCTTAAATAACACAATACAATTGGCAGGCATTTTATAATTAATTTTTAGTGGTCAACGTAAGGGTGGTCAGGGGTCGGTAAGCGCGCGTTTTTTGAATATAGAAAAATTCCTTCGCCAGTTTCCGACTAAGAGATTTTTGGTAAAAGTAAATAAGATCAAACTGAACTTCAATGCAAAACCCTGGAGCAGAGCTACCAATATCCGGGGTTCTAGGAGCAGCGTGCCGACACCCCCGCTTTTTCGCAAAATTGCTAAACTTCCCGTTACTATAAATCCAAAATTAAAAATTTTGCAGCCGTTTTCATTTATTTCCTGCATAAATAAACACTAGTTCTTTTATAGGAAACGTCCAATCCTCCGAAAAAATAATTAGTTTTCCGCTAGCAGGCAAATTACTATGGTCTGGGGGTGTTGCCATATATACAGGGTGGCTAGAAAGTATTTGCCGCGCTTTCGCGCTGGTTTTAATCTGCTAAAATTTCAGCAACAGATGCATTTGGGGGGTGTATTCTGCAGAGAATTTTTTGCTCTATCGATTGATATATAGAAACATTCAACTCCTTGCTCTTATAAATTTAATTGGAGTTAAATACATTAAACGGTGCTTTTTATATGGGTTTTCGGCACTTTTGAGGCCCTCGAAAAATTCCTTAGGGAATATCTTATTCTTTTCCGGTGCTGTCTCGTAGAAAAAATGATCCAAACTATCTAAAAAAATTATGCTCGGGGCACCTCGAGACTTTGATGGATCACGGAAGTGAAAGTAAAATTTGGCGAGTGGGGTGCGCCGAGATTTGTGGCTGGCAACCATTTGCCGCAAAAGAATGGGTTCTAAAAATCGTTAATTCGAGATCTTGCCCTAAATTTACTATCAAATGGTAGGTAATGCATGACTCTACCAGGCTGACACTTTGAATAGGGCCAAAATAATTGAAAACGCCGGCCTAAAGCATTTGAAGGTTGTTCGAAACCAACGGCAAAGCGGTGCATCTTATTATTCTTTTGTGTCCAGAATATCTTTAGTTGCGGCTATCCAATGAGTTTTTCCCATTCTAGCGGTTGGCATTATTGCGTCCACAAAAGAAAAAAACAATTTCCGCATAGAAACGTCGATATTTAAGACATTTTGTATTTGTGCTCCAAAAACACCTTGTTCCGCTCATTTTAGGCGCTAAAGGAAATAGCGGAAAGCTTTTCGATACGGCTAAAAAGAATTTTTCTGGTTGATACGTCCGATAAAGGGCCTTGCATTGAACAAAAACCCAACTTGCTATTCTGATTGGTTGCAAGTAAAAACTGAAAAGATTAACACTAAAGGCAAAATACATGCGGCGCAGGCCCATGTTTGGAGGCACCTCTAAAGGACCGTAACTTAAAAAGATGAGGTCTAGGGTGTTCGCCTTTTTGATAATCGCAAAGAGAGGTCTCTTCGCTACATTTTGGTTATAAAATGTCAATGAAGCCGGACACGAAAAATTTCTTAAGGAGCTTTCCCTGCGGCAAATACTTTCTAGCCACCCTGTATGCCTCACCCTGTATATTAGATATATTGTGTTATAACAAGTAATGACTGAGATCTGTTTTGAACGTGGGTGTTGGGAACGGCTTAATACGAGTATTTACATAAATTGAATAGTAAGAGATTAAACGTAAAGAATGAGAGGGGCGAGCTAAGTTGTAATCGGGCTAAAGTAGATGAGAGGTAGATATGTACAGGGTGTCCCAAGAAAAAAGCACCCCCCTCTAGCGGCGCGCAGTCGTGTCCGATTTCCACCGTTTAGGTATCTATCGAAAGCTCTTCAAAGGCGAGAAAACAAGGAGGGTTCATTTTCTTTATTATGTATTTCTATTAGCAAATTTTACGTCCAAAAACCATGAAAACGGCAGATTTACGCGAGATCTGCATGCAAATCGCGAAATTCCGATTGGAAATCTACCTGCTTTTTAGAAAAACATTGAATATCCAGCGTATAAAAATAAATCTCATATAATGAATCCCGCTTGTTTTCTCGCCTTTCCGAGGGCTTTCGAATGGTATAAAAATTATCCCGATCTGAACTTCCCCCGGACCGCTAGAGGGGGGTGCTTTTTTTGGGACACCCAGTATAAGTGAAAGATAGTATAGGGTAGAAGTCTGAGGAGAGAGATTTAATAAAAAAGTAAATGGAACAGTGAAAAGGAATATGAAATTGGGGATATAAAATTGAGAAATATGAGGACGAACCAGTGGAAAAAGACGCTTCGCGGCCATTTTCCACTGGACCCCGTCCAGGAACCCTGAACTTGAATACCTTCTTTTTTTGGCCTGCGGCGCAAGCACCTGAGTCAAGGATCCCCTGTTTGGCCTGCGGCGCCAGAGCCAGCGTTGCGCTAAAATCTTTGAGCCTGCGGCGCTAGTTACTGTTTTTTCTCCAGGATTTGGCCTGCGGCGCGAGAGCCTGGGACAGGGACCTTTTCGTTAGCCTGCGGCGCGAGAGCCTGGGCCAAGAACCGTTTCTTTTGCCTGCGGCGCTAGAGCGAGAGCCACGCCTAAACCTCGCACACCGAGAGCCTAGTAATATGTTTTGTTGCCCAATTGCCAAAAAGCAAAAAGTTGGATCCGGTCAGGATCCGAACTCACGACTACGCGCGCGGCAGACCCGACGCAAATCCACTACACCACCGCGACAATGGGAACGCGCAGCCGGAAAGGCTCTTCTCTCCTGGGGGCGGGGGAGGAGGCACAGAAAAGCCCTTCCCTCCCGGATCCCGGGAGGGAGGCCTTCTGGTCACTTTACAAAATTCGATTTTTGAGCCCGAATCTGCTAAAAATTTGTGAAAATAATAAGATAATGTGATAATAAGAAATAATAAGATTTCGGTTATATAAATCAAACCGGTTTGATTTGAATACGGGATCCTTATTCAAACCAAACCCGGTTTGAATAAGGATTCGCAACTCAAACCAAACCAAACCGGTTTGAATAATTTGAACAAGGTTTGAATAAGAACCAGTCTCCAAAATAGTCTGTTTTCTGATCTGTTTTTAGCGTTTTGGCACCAATCTATTGGTGATTCACTTTAGGGTCGTTCGGCAGCATTTCTGCCAGGTTTTGGGGTTGGCGGACCATTTCGAGACGTTTTTTCTGGCACCCTTCCCAAGTTATCACGACCATTAGGATGCTTGTGAACGGTCGTGGATGCCAAGCCTATGGTTGAAAAAGTGTGTCAACCCTAGAAATTTGGTCCACTTCTTAGAACTTTTCTCGAAATCCCATACACTTTGGCCGGCGCGAGCTAAAAACTGCTGCGTTTGCTTCAGCTTTAGAACCAAAAGCCAGAAAATGTATTGATTTTGGAGGGCCGATATCTCGGCCATCCAATGTCCGATTTTGATGATCTCAACATCTATCGATATCTACTCCTCGAGGGCTTTCGATTGGTGTTAACGGTATCGTATGCAAATGCCTGAATGCAGAGATATCTCGCTTGGAAGCTTTCACCCAATTTTCTGCTGAACTTCTGAGGCCTGTATCTTCGTCGACGTCAGTTTTTAGACGCTTTAAGGGTCGTATCGTGATAGAGCATCCGAAGATCTACCAAACCATATATCAAACTTACAAATCGGACGTTCCTGCGGGTTTTACCAGCGATTCAAAGATTTTGTGCCATTACTTTCTTTCCAACCTGATACATATAGTTCCGAGACTGCACAATGCGTGATTATAACAAAAACAATTATTATCAGTTATTTATCCTTTACTCAGTACGTGGCATGTACATTTTAACCGTTAGGCATTGGGGTTATTCTCCATCATTTGTCGAAAATTGACAGATAGATCTCCTGATCAAAAAATGTAGACTTGAAAATGGCGCAGAGGAAAACTGAAAAGTTGTGTATATGGGAATAGGGATGTGATTTATCAGATTTGAAAACCAGTAAATGGGTTTTTGAATTAGAAACTTGATAGTAGCTTGCTACGGACTTACATTTCCCATAAACTTCAATACTGAATTTTTGCAACTTTGAAACAAAATGCTGCTCACACTCATCCTCGTCTGGCTGAAAAGGGACAGTATTTTGGTCAGACAAGGAGGGTTAGAATAACGCTCACGATTCTTTATTTTGCTATTTCGTCAGAACTTATTGCCCCACTCCAAGTTTTGGTTTTTTTAGTATCAGACCAATTTTTTTAGTTGTTTTCTGACAAGGGAATTGTCTCAGCTCGACATAGAATTGCGGGTGGCATGTTAGCTCATTTTTTACATCTCGACGAGACGAATCGGTTTTTGTAAATCTCAGCTGCCCATACCGTAATCCGTCATTTTAAAGGCTTTTAGAGTTTTGTTTCGTAATTACGTATCGTCGTATATTAAGAGCATATTATATGGTATATTTAAAAATACTTTTATCATAAAGCCAGTGGAAAAAGACGCTTCGCGGCCATTTTCCACTGGACCCCGTCCAGGAACCCTGAACTTGAATACCTTCTTTTTTTGGCCTGCGGCGCAAGCACCTGAGTCAAGCATCCCCTGTTTGGCCTGCGGCGCCAGAGCCAGCGTTGCGCTAAAATCTTTGAGCCTGCGGCGCTAGTTACTGTTTTTTCTCCAGGATTTGGCCTGCGGCGCGAGAGCCTGGGACAGGGACCTTTTCTTTTGCCTGAGCGAGAGCCACGCTTAAACCTCGCACACCGAGAGCCTAGAAATATGTTTTGTTGCCCAACTGCCAAAAAGCAAAAAGTTGGATCCGGTCAGGATCCGAACCAGGGGCGTAGCCAGAAGAAAATTTCGGAGGGGGGCCCCGAAAAAATTTTTCCAAAACCTCAAAAAATGAACGAGAAAACAGCGCCGCAGGCGAAAAATTTTGGAAAAAAGGTTACATAGCTCTATAAATAGCAGTAAAAACGTGAAAAAATAGCGCCGCAGGCAGCAAAATTTTTGAGAAAATAAAAATCATAAGGGTCCCCCCTTATGAAAATTTGTGAAAATAATAAGATGCGCGTGATCCCCACCATCAAATCCATAAGTGGTCCAAATTACAGACTAGAGTGGCGCTTATTCAAATCAAATCGGCTTCAAATTGATTTGATTTGAATTGGCAAATTTGAGTGCTAAAAAATCAACTTCAAATCAAATCGATTTGATTTGAATTAGGGGCTGGCCAACTCAAATCAAATCGATTTGATTTGGGATTTGAACAACAGGCTTATCTGGGATGCAAATTGAAAATCGCCAGTTCGGAGGTTTTTGGTCTCGCCGTTTCTGCACATTTAGGTTCCTTTACAATAATTCATGGGTGTTTCGATGACCTGATATAAAATTGAGTCAGACGGTTTTATTTGTCAGATTTAGCCTACGCTATCGTTTTTCTTTGCAAAAGCTAAAGCGTAAAAACAATAGGAAATGTATAAGGAATCGTTAACTGGGACGCTGGAACAATGCTAAGAGATTATAGGGATAGAGCGGTGCACGAATTACGAGTTGGGTTGGGTTCATTTCGATGAGATCTTATTCAAATTATTCAAATCGGCTGGATTTGATTTGAACTGGTGGAACTCAAATCAAATCGATTTGATTTGATTTGATCGGCTCCAAATCAAATCAAATTGGCTTGATTTGAATAATTTGAATCTTATTCAAATCTGATTTGAATAAGCGCCACTCTATTACAGACCGAAATTCCATCAGGGCTTCGAATTATGCCCCGGACACCACGGCTCGTCGCCCATCTTGTTAAGGACTTTTTAGAAAAATGCCCATAAAAACTTTATTTTACAAAGTCTGACAAAACCCAAAATTACATATCGGGAGAATTCTATTTCCAATCCGCCCTCCAAAGATTTGAGCTGAATTCCATTTGGATCGCGAGATTTCCTCTGTACAAACTTTTTTTTTGCCAGAATGTTAAGGGTTTTTCACTATTTTGCTTGTAAAATCGTTAAATGAAGGAATTTCGAAAAACAAAAAAATGCTTATAAAGAGGATGTGTTTCTGCACCTCCATGCCAAAAATCAGCCGGAAATTCGGCCTGACGGCCGAGAAATCGTCTGCACAGAAAACACACATACTTTTCTCGCTTATAGGATAGGAAATTTTGAGTGCCCCCCGCTATCCCCCCCCCCCGCTATTTTATGTGTCCCAAATGTTCTACGAAAAATTGTGCATCTTTTGAGACCAAGGTACCGAAAATCTATTCTGGTACTTTTTGTGATGAGGCTTCGAATTTTTGACCTTAGTTTACGTGTGCTTGCCACCTTCACATGGCTCTATTTTTAGTTAAATCCGAGACCATATTTGGTAAAATCAAGGTCGATTACCCCAATATCGAGAAACTAGCGTTGAAAATGGATGGAAACGTCTGTTTTACTCAAAAAACCCTGATTGCCAAAGTGTTATTATGTTCCGGTTTTGGTCCTCCAAATTTTGAGCGATCTTGGCAGACTTTTTTAGCTGAAACTCGTTCGATGAGCAAAAAAAAAGCAAAAGGTTTGCGAAGGTTTGGGGCAAAAGCGCGAGAACGTGGGGCCGTCAGGAGTCGAACCAGGACCCTGTGTTTGGCTTTTGGGATCGGCGCTAACCGACTGCAAATTTCTGAGCAAAAAGCAAAACAACAACGATCGCCGGGGGATCGAACCTCCGATGGATAGATTGGCAAGCTGCCGCTCTAACCAATACACCATGCAACGCAAGAGAGCACGCGCGAAGCACCCCCCGCGCTCCAGCCGACCCCCATCTACCGTATCTCGGCTCCCTGTTCATCTACAGTTGTGTAAAGTATACCAATATACTCGCCAGTGCAAGACGAACATTTTGGTATACTTGACACACCTGTAGATGAACAGGGAGCCGAGATACAAAAGTTGGGTGCTGGCTGGGGGGAGGGGTAAGCTGGGCTTATTTTCAAAATGTCGAAATTCATGATGTCGAAACTCATAATGTCGAAATTTCAAAATGTCGAAATTTCACAATGTCGAAATTTCATAATGTCGAAATTTCACAATGTCGAAATTTCATAATGTCGAAATTTCATAATGTCGAAATGTCAGAATGTCGAAATGTCCCCCCCCCTCTCATTTACCCCGAAAGACCCCATTTTGACCCCCCATCGCAACACCCCCAAAACCCCCCCAACCGACACCCCTGCCAACCCCCAATGGACCCCCACGCGAACCCCCCAAAGTTCGGGAGGTCTACTAATAAGGCTTCCCTCGAATGCTAATTTTTCGCATCGTGTTCGCCGTAGTCGATGATTGGGGGGGGGGGGTAGCCGCGAGCGTTTTTTCGAATTTCCACCCTGTGAACGTGCCCTTCCCTTGTTAGAAGAAGCTTGTTCTGATTTTAGAAGCAGCTCCTTCTTCTTCTTACGAGGGAAGTGCAAAACCTGACCGTGGGATTTCGACACGGGAGAAATGGGGTCGGATAGAATCGGAGGGGGGACCCTTATCATTTTTGAAAATTTTTGAAAATGGGCGGTAAGCGGCAGATATTTTTGAACTGCCGCCCCCCCGAAATTTTGGGTCAGCTACGGCCCTGCCTACCCTGGACAGTAAATCCAACTTTTTTTGAGGAATTGTTTGCAAACCATACGTATGGCGAGGCCCGTAGGAGGGGGGGGGGAGGGGCCCTGCCCCCCGGAAATCCTAAAGAACCCTTTTTTGCTTATTTTTGCCTGCGGCGCTGTTATTGATGTGATTTTGGATGTTTTAAAAGTGGCGGGGGGTCGCCAAAATTTTTGGGCCCCGCCGCCCGAAATTTCGGCTCCGCTACGGGCCTGCGTATGGCTCATTCGAAAGCCCTTTTTTTGCTGAACAAGATGCACGAGTTCTTTTCTGCGCAATTTCCTCCCCGCGGTTTTGGCACCCCTTAAAAGTACCGTTTTTGGCGATTTGGTCAACTTTGAAGCCTCATAACTCTTCTCCGTGTTATTGAGCAGGTTATGATTACAGATTCGAAATTCCCGTGTGCGACTCTATCCGACCCACTTTCTCCCGTGTCGAAATCCCACGGTCAGGCTGCGCACTTCCCTAGTTTGGAGAAGAAGCAGCGTTTCTCAAGCCTACCATCCATTTGGCCAATAATTCTGCATCAGCATCCGTATCATCAAGAAATGTCATCATTCCATTATGAAGTGTTCGAAGGCGTCTTTCGTACTTTTTCTAAATACGGTAAGTGTCAAGAGGAGTGTGTTGTAGTCTACCAGAAATAATGGAATATCGAATATTTGGCCATCATCACTCGTCTCAGCAATTGACATTTTATGTAAATATCCCGATTGTTGTGGTCGAGATGGGCAAATCGCCAGCTGGAAATAGGAAAACTAATAAGTACACCCTGGAAAAGACACACCCGATCGAATTAAATGGGCTAGGAAGTCAAAATTGGCGTGGGCGGGGATTGTAATCTAGAGAAATGTAGACGTGCGCACTCGGGCCGAACTGATATCCAACAACAGTTTATTCTACAGGGTGCGGAGAAAGTTTACGGTGGCGAGTAATTCTATCGCCTAAGAAAGTTTCAAAAGCCGTATTCTTCCGATTCTGTCATGATCACGAGAAAATATATCGGTTCAGGTTATATAGAACGCCTTTGGTTCCAAAGAATATGCTTAGAATTTCTTGAAAGGGCTAAAGACATTTTCAAGCCTCGGCACGCTACATTTTTTTTGGAAAAACCTCTCTCTTTCGAAAGATATGATTCCTCAGGGCGCCAGATTGCCGGAATAGTTTCCTCAAATGCTACTTGACAAATTTGCTCTTTTGAAGAAAGCGATCCGGCGCGTTCTGAAAAAGTTACAGGCATGTTTTCAACACTCAAAATCCGTGAGGCGCAAAACATTGTCTCGGAGATCCGCGCTACGATCCCGAATATCTCGAACGGGAACGTTTTCTGAGGTCCAATTTTTTACGTAATAAGATAGATCTGATGAAAAGCAAGTACGTGACATGAAAATTGAAGGCAAATCAGGCTTGCCGAGATTTTTATCGTGCTTTATCGGCGCCACCGAAAACTTGGTTCTTGCGTATTCCCGGGGGGGGAACTTTTTTTGCCCACATCTCAAATTTTCCTTTATCCATTTTGCGAAAACGCTTATCTATTCAGTATATTTCCCCATAAAGTGTTTTCACATTGCTTTTAGCAAAATTTAAGCCTATTTGAATAGGAAAAACTATTTTTAAAAAAAACGCTTGAAAAAGTCGAAAATTTGGTCGTTTTTTGGTCGAAAAAATTAATTTTTCGACCTAAAATTAATTTTTTTATTGAATTTTGTAAAGTATGTTGTTGTTTTGTATGCTTAGGAACAGCTATAAACAGCTTAGAAACAATTCCACCATTTATATAAAAAATCTAGGCTTGGGCCGAAAAAAGTTCGGTTTCCCCCGCGAATTCTTCCCCCCCGGAATACGCAAGAACCGAAAACTTTTTCCGCGCCCTGTACATGAAGGCAGGAGGATAGGCAACAGACCAAGTCTGTGCCTATAAGCGGACCTGCCGCTAAAAAATACAAATCTACAGGGTGGGGCGGAAGTTCCTGGATTTTTGGTTTTCCGGCGATAAAAAGACGTAGAGGGATCGTGGGACCGCCAAATTCATCAAAGTTGTAGAAGCAGGGATGGGGAATCAAAATTCATGCGCAATTTTGCGGCAGTCCATGAGATTTCTTAGAATTGAGCGTTAGCAGTTGTCATTTTAGACCCGTTTTCGGGTCGCGTGGCACGCTGATCTGAGCCAGATATTTTGGCCGTTAAAATTTTAAAGGTGCATCGCGATGAAGAGGTTTTTGGCCTCCAAATAGTTTAACGCATGCCCGTCATGGTGGCCAATCCTCATTATGCGGAAAGTTGAAACCTAGCGAGTTGTAATAATTTGAAAATTGCACGTAAATGACCCTTCAGCGAAGGTGATTTTCAAAGCTTTTTGAAACGAGTCCAGAATTCCGGAAAAAGCTCTAGAGGGGTTGCCATGGCTCGAGTTATCTTTCCATAGGTACAGTCTTTCATACAAAAAGATTGGATGAACCAAAATCCTTACGGTTATCCAAAATATCCGAGACAAAAATTGGCAAAATGAACTGCGCGCCACGCGGCCTCGAAACCTGACTGTAAAGTGTTTTTACGTCGCCGTCGCGTTTTAGGATGGGACCAAGCCTATCCTGTTCAGAATTTTTTGCTGATTCCGAATCCTTTTTCCAAATTTGCTGCGGGCTTCGCGTTGAAAAGTCATTTTTGGTCTAAATTAAGCTTAAAATCGAAATCGAGCCGTATCAATCTAAAACCATTACCGAGCCAGTTTTAGCCCGGCCTTATCTATTCCGGGAACGCCTTCCGGGAATAATTTCAGAATCGACTTCCCGGAATGAGTTTTCATCCATTACGGGAATCCCGGAATAGTTTACCGCAATGCTATTCCGGTAACCCATTCCGGGAATCGATAGACTTTAAATAGCCAGCAACTTTTTTGTTGCTCCTGCATTTTGTGGCATTTTTGAGAGTTTGAAAGGAATTTAGCACTTTTTGTTGCCACGAGAATTCCTCTCTTTTTGCCAAAATCAAAAGCCCTTTTTTTTAAAAAACTTTAGCTTTGTATCCCGACGTAAAGCCGACTTGGCAGATCATAGCGTGGGACCTACAGGGTGGGCCCAAAAAAAAAGTTTGGGACAAATTATCTAGCGAACGGAAACGAATTGGGCCATCGTTACCTTGCCAGAATGCTTAAAAGGTCGTCCGCGGCTCACCCGGCCTGCCCAATATGGCTTGATAAAGTTTTTTTTTGACGTCATCTGAAAGAGCATGGTCGAATTAGTAGGGTGGCACTATTTTGAGATTCAAAACAGTTTATATTCGTAGTTAAATTTGGCTCTAACGTGGCAAACCTCAAAAAATTATCTCGAAAACTACCAGGCCAAATGGGCTGAAATTTCGTGACTAGGCCTCATTTGGGATGAGGATGATAAGGATAAGGAAAAGGATGATACATTGCGAAGCACGAAAATGGACGGAACATATGCAGAATGCGTACCAAAAAACAGTTTTTTTTGCAGTTTTCGTCTTGCTGCATCATGAGACTAGCATAGAAAGATGCGCCCCTTTTGGTTTGAGGTACCCCCCCCCCCATACGACTCTTTTGGGGTCCTTTTCCGGATTTAAAAAAGAACGAAGCATCGGAACGCCAAACTGAATTCCTTGGCTTATTTTACGATCTTACTACTAATTCAATTCACCACCCTACTAATTCAACCATGCTCTTTCAGATGACGTCAAAAAACAGGGTCGAAAAAACTGTACCAAGCCTTGTTCGGGTGACCCGCGGACAGCCTTTTAAATAGGCTGGGCATGAAGAAATAACACAAGTTGTTTTTTAAGATTTTTGACGACCAGTATTTGACGACAAGATTAAAAATTTGTGAACATTTTTGTAAAAGTAGTAAACTTTGCAGCGATAAAGTATGGAACTTTTGATGAGTTAGCGGTACTTCAAGGGTATCAAAATGAAGCTCTTGGAATGCGCTATCAAACCAGTGGTAAAGAATTTTAATCGATTGAACTAACCGTCAATAGGAGCCTTCGGAAAAAACGGACTTTTGAAGAAAGGCCGATTCCGAGTTGACCATAGTAAGCTCATTGCCACGGTAGCCTTTTCTGTTTGTTAGATGTAATGCTATCCAGAATGCCAAACAATGAACTTTAAATTTGTTAGACCCAATTTAGTATTTGTCTTATTATTGGTAAATACAAAATATCAGCTAGATCGGATGGTAAGGAAAATTTATCTGGAATTTTTCCTTAAAAAAGTCGGGATTTTCCGAAGGCTCCTATTGTCGACTAGTTAAACCGATCGCTATTCTTTACCACTGGTTTGTTAGCGCATTCCAAGAGCTTCATTTTGATACCCTTGAAGTCCCCCTAACTCATCAAAAGTCCATACTTTATTGCTTCAAAGTTTTCTACTTTTTTAAAAATGTTAAAAACTTTTTAACGACCCACTGATCGTCAAAAATCTTAAAAAACGTGTGTGATTTCTTCATGTCCAGCATATTTAAGCATTCTGGCAAGGTAACGATGGTCTGATTCGTTTCCGTTCGCTAGATAATTTGACCAAAACTTTGCTTTTTTTTGGCCCACCCTGTAGCCGCGGCTTATACGAATACGATCGTCGTATTCGCATCATCGGTACGTTTTCTCCATCAGATATGTATATCGGGCTAGCACATCGTATTCGTATGCGTAACATCTCTATTCTCTGGTTTTTTCTCTTGTCGATTTTGGTTGATTTTTGGTCTTTCAAACCTCTAGAAGGATCAGAATTACACGAGGATTAGAGAACTAGCGTCAGAATTTTGAAACGAATGCGTTTTACCGTCCAAACAGGGGCTAGAGAACATGCGGCGCGGTCGCGTTGCGGCCGCATCTGGCTAGTTGCCAGGAATCAACGCTAGGAGGCGTGGACCAGAGACCTTTAAGAAAATAAAGTCATAGTGAATGTCATTTCCTAAACAGGGACGAATACGAGGGTGTGAGAACGGTGTACGGAGGTTGTCCTTTCCAGGCTGTCCGCTGGAAATGATGGACATTCTTATGATTATTTAAAAACGGTTCAGCATGCTCGAAATGAGGGTAGAAAACTGGTCTATGCCTCGTCAATTCGCATCCTTCGCGTGGGAACGGAAATATAGAGCAAATAGATAACCCACATCAAAAAACGGTGCAAAAGCGTCGTTGTGTATGGACGGATATTTCCGGAAATTAGAAGTCATCTCCATTTTTGCCAATATTTTTCTTTCGAAGGGTCGAGGGCCTAAAGTGTCGTAGGTCAGTTGTCCATTACAATCAGAAATAATTTTCGTATAATTCTCTCACCTCTCTGTCGCCAATTCCTCACCCATGCTTCACTCCAGAATTCTATGCATTCTCCGCATCTCCATGGGATTTCCGAACCGTATTGCTGAAAATGGCATATCCTATCTTATAAACGAGAAAAGTATGTCGGTTCTTCAGGAATTCCGTGACTAGCTAGCTAGCTCACCATTTGACATTGTCGACAACGACCGATGAGTGGTTTCTGAAACAAATTGCAAATTGGAGTTTCGACCCGGGTCGAAACCAAAACGGGTCGAACGTTCGAACACGTGTTTTTTTCGACCCGGGTTGAAAGCAAGTCAGTTCGAAATAAATCACCTTGATAAATGCCAAATCCAATGCATTTTCCCTTTTCTGCCTTGTTTAGCTTGCACTTTATCTTTTGCGGACCTTTCTTGCCTTTTCGCTTGCTTCCTCCAACCAGTTTGCCGCGCTGCCGCAGGCTTGTTTGCCTTGGTGTGCAACGGAAAGGAAGATAGGAAGTAAAACTTAGAGGGCTGGAGCCTGGAGGAAGATGGGCCGGCGTCCGTCGGGGTGACGGACCGCCGCGGTGCTACAATCGACGCTTTCCCTGGCGTAAGCGCCCCCATAAACCCACTCTAGCGTTTGAAGAAACCACTTCAATAGCTATTATCACCATGAAATTGCTTTATTTCTAATGGAAAAAGAAATGCCGGGTTGAAACTTTGCCTGGGTAGACCAAGAACTTAGTGATACCCATCCATAGTATAAATTTGAGCCGGATTGGATAGAAGGCGGGCAAGTTCTGAACCATACGGGGGTTTGGGGACACTGTTTTGGCTGAAAAAGCGGCGCATCGAAAGAAAAACACCTCTAGAAAGTTGAAGAGTACGTTACTTTCCTTTAGCTAGGTTTACTACAACATTTTCTAGCGAAAACGGGTCGAACACTTTTTTTTCGACCCGGGTCGAAACCAAAACGGGTCGAACACTTTTCGTTTCGACCCGGGTCGAAACAAAACGGGTCGAAAACTTTTTTTCGACCCGGGTCGAAACGAAAAATGTTCGAACACTTTTTTTTTCGACCCGGGTCGATTCAACTCTAGTGTAAACTGGCTTACATCTAAAAGAATGGACCATATATGGCATTCCCCTCGATAGTTGTTGATCACCGCTCGAAAGATTTCATCCGTCTCCACTTCCATCAGAATCTTTTCCACGGCCCACAACGAGTGGAAGAAGCTGCCCATCTGAATTCAACCACTAACATCATTTCTTTGGTATTCGACTGTTTGGGGGGGATTTTTCCAGGTAATCCGGTACGGCGCCATAACGAAATATAGGGTAATTGTCACCTGATCGAAAACCTCTTGACCGAAAACCATTTCACCAACAAACCTTGGGACCGAAAACCCCCTTTACCGAAAACCTGCTAACCGGAAACTTTTTCACTGAAAAACTAATTTTGTATGCTAATTTTAATACCCAGATTTCCGCGGTGATGTTTTACGGACTGAGGTATCCAATAATGTTCTACTGGCTCCAAACTACTTCAGAAGACTTGTTTCTATGAATAATCCTTGAAAAAAACAAAATCCCACAATAGCAGCACATAGACGAGTTGAACAATGACAGTACTAATGAGAAATTAGCATACAAAATTAGTTTTTCGGTGAGCAGATTTTCGGTAAAGGGGTTTTCGGTCAATGGATTTTCGGTGAAATGGTTTTCGGGGAGATTCTGGGGGCCCATGGCCATGGCCTAGCTCCGGGTCCAATCCGCAAAACAAGTGCTCCGGGCGGGGGTCGAACCCGCATCCTACGGCGTTCGAGTCCGATGCTCTCCCTATTGAGCTACCGAAGCACGCGGAATGCCTCTCTCGGGGCAGCTATCCATGCCGGCCCCTCACATCCAACCTAGCTTTTCGGTCAAATGGTTTTTCGGTGAAATGGTGTTCGGCGAGCTGCTTTTTCCGGTGAAAAGATTTTCGGTTAGGTGACAATATCAACGATATCAACGATCTCTACAGCATTTTACGAGGTTTTTAGGGCTTATTTTCAAAATGTCTAAATTCATAATGTCGAAACTCATAATGTCGAAATTTCATAATGTCGAATTTCATAATGTCGAAACTCATAATGTCGAAATTTCATAATGTCGAATTTCATAATGTCGAAATGTCAGAATGTCGAAATGTCCCCCCCTCTCATTTACCCCTTCATTGCAAATTTGCATATTAACATCCGAATTTAGACGCAAATCAGCTATTTTAGTTTCCAGGGCCGAGCCGAATCGGCCGAGCCCGGCCCCGGAAAAATTCGCCCGGGCTCGGGCTCGGCCCCGCGGATTTGCATATTTTTCCGGGGCCCGGAAATGGGTGTTTTTTTCATGTTAATTAGATTACAGGCCCGGCCCCGGGGTGCGGCCGCCCGGAATTGCCATTTCTGAAAAAAATAGCATGTGGAAAATTTTTTTTGGCTAGGATTTGGCGGTTTCACCGGTAATATTAGCCTATGTAAATTTCGACATTCTGAATTTCGACAGTATGAAATTTCTACATTATGAAATTTCGACGTTATGAAAATTCGACATTATGAAATTTCGTCATTATGAAATTTCAACATTATGATACCAATTCGGTTTTTAGCCATTAAAACTTATTAAAAATTCTAGAAATTTTCCTAATTTTGGGGTTTTTGGACCAAATGTTGGAAAATGCCCAATAAATGCCCACATTTTAAAACGCTTCTTTGTAGCTTTCTAGTAGTACGGATAGCAAAATTACTAAAACACTGTGCCCTCCTGGCTGATTTGCTTTCCGAATTGGCGCCTTACAAAATTGTATTGTCATACCTCAAATGCGGCATCTAAAACGTCGATCCTCGGCATCTTCTCGCCATAACAAAGCTCGAGAGCCTGTAATGTTTTTTTATCTTATTGCTATACACTCAGTAAAATAGCTATGAAGGCAGTGATTTCTGTTTAATATCCCGGCGGTTTTTGCATATATCGCAACTTTCAGAAGAAGCTTCTGAAGCGCAGCTTAATATCCGGTCCAAACACGAATCAAATCCGTTCGTGGGAAGTACGAGCTTTGGCAAATGCTCTTTTCCAAACTGTAAAAAAATTAAAAAGCCGTCTAAGGAAACTCATTGAAAAATTCGTAAGATATACAGGGTGGGCAGAAAAAAAAGTGCCTGGTTTGCACTGAAATATCTCGCTGGGGGAAACGAATCGGACCATCGTTACCTTGCCAGAATGCTTAAATATGCTGGGTATGAAGAATAAACACAAGTTGTTTTTTATGATTTTTGACGACCCACTACTCGTTAAGAATTTTTGAACATTTTTGAAAAAGTAGAAAACTTTGAAGAGGAAAATCATGGAACTTTTTATGAGTTAGGGGGACATGTAGGGTATCAAAATGAAGCTCTTGGAATGCGCTATCAAATCAGTGGTAAAGATTATCGATCGGTTTAACTAGCCGTCAATAGGAGCCTTCGGAAAATCGGCACATTTAGATGTCGGATGGTAAAGAAAGTTTATCTCGAATTATTCCTTCAAAAAGTGCCGATTTCCCACTGATTTGATAGCGCATTCCAAGAGCTTCATTTTGATACCCTACATGTCCCCCTAACTCATAAAAAGTTCCATGATTTTCCTCTTCAAAGTTTTCTATTTTTTCAAAATGTTCAAAAATTCTTAACGAGTAGTGGGTCGTCAAAAATCATAAAAAACAACTTGTGTTTATTCTTCATACCCAGCATATTTAAGCATTCTGGCAAGGTAACGATGGTCCGATTCGTTTCCCCCAGCGAGATATTTCAGTGCAAACCAGGCCCGTAGCGGAACCGAAATTTCGGCGACCTCCCCCCCGGTCGCCACTTTTAAAACATCCGAAAATCGCGTCAGTAATAGCGCCGCAGGCAAAAAAAAATGCAAAAAAGCGTTCGCTACACTCAAATTCGTGTGAAAACACGGCAGAAAACGCGCCGCAGGTGAAAATTTTTATGAACAATTTATTCGCCAATGAAAATCCAGCGCCGCAGGCAAAAAATTTTTGAAAAAATAAGCTTCATATAAGTAAAAACTGTTTGAAAAACAGTAATAAACAGCGCCGAAGGCAGAAAAATTTTTGTAACTAAAAATCATAAGGGTCCCCCCTTATGAATTTTTCGGACCTCGACCGATTTCGGGGGGCCCAGGCCCCCCCCCCCCTCCTACGGGTCTGTATGCAACAACCGCCGAGATCTTTACTGAGACTATGTGTGTTCCATCTGATTTATGCTATGTTTGTGACTGACCCCCAGATTCGGCCTGAATCTAACATGCAGGTCCCTGATAGAACGGCTGAGACGAGTAAGGTTGGCCATAAATCCATTAAAATCGACCGGATATCGGCTGAAATGAGCTACTTTTATAAACCGGGAATTGCGAGAAGGCGTTCCACCGACGCTTAGTTCCGATTAGTCTAGTTCTGCGTATGACTCAGACATGGCAAATCGGCCGGCCGATCGGCTTTTTCGGCCGCAAAAATTAGAATGCGCTTGGCCGCAGCTTTTTTTCTGTTTTGTGGCCGCACGGCCACAAAAGGCTTTTTTAAGCCCGCATACAAATGAGTTTTGAGTACTTCCGGTACGTGAATCGGAGATGCAATGAATATTGAGCCCGCCAACGAGGAATATCTATTTTCGACAACCTTAATTTTCCCATTTTATGACTATTTCGCATGACACTCGCAATTTTTTGGTATGTATATGAGCCACTTCCGGTTTGCGGCTTGGCCGCAAAGCCGCATTTCCGGAAGTAGCTTATTACGGCGGCTCGTAGGAGGTCGCATTTCCCGCGCGGCTCGGCCGATCGGAATTGCCATGTATGGTATTGCTGTAATCGCGAGTATCTTCATATTATTCTTCGGAAACCTGGATTATTTCACAAAAAACCTTTTTTAAACGATTGAATGATTTAGATGTTGAAAAATTTGCTAATCTTGAAAAAATTTATTTTGGAAATTCTTTGGATCGTGAGTTTCCCCTTACAAGGGACGTGCACCAACTTAGCGTGAGCTTTCGTGTCAAAAATAAGTGGATCTTATAGGCGACGGGGATTCCGAATATCGAACCAGAATTTGCTAAATACAACGGAGAAAAAAGTTATGAGCTTTTAAAGTTTTGCATAAATTGCGCGCGCACCTTTATGAGGGCTTTCTGGGGATCGGAGACCGCCTGTTGCACCTGTATTAGAGTCGGTTTAAGTGTTCAGTGGATTTTGGATGTTATTATAATAGGGTGCGGCTATTATAAGGTATGATGTTTGTTGCGGAAGCAAGAGAAGAAAGTCTTTTGATCCAATTACGCGATGCCAGTACAGCGCACCCCTTTGCACCGCGCCCTGTGTGCGCCCTCCCCGTCCCCCGGCACAACCCCCTTTTTGTGCGGTGTCTTTTTCATTCCTTCCACACCGCCGTCTTGTCTCGCTGCTTGTGTTATTTTTAGGCTAGCCCGTTATTGTAAATAAACTATTCTGTCCTCTTCTTTCGTCATATCAATTCAGGTGTCAAACGGCTCTCACGCAAGGTCTCCCCTTGGTTCGAGCCAGCACTCAAGAACTCACGCACAGCCACACCTACAACATTATATTATAAGGTATGATGTTTATTGCGTAGCACTTAAATCCACCAAATTCCCCTTTAGCTCTTGTCGGGTCCTAAGTGGAACCGGCGGGCCGAGCCAGGGGCGAAGTTGGGGTTGGGGGTTTTGGAAGGAGTGAGGAAAGGGGCCAAGCGGGCCAGCTTTATACGAGACGGCGGCCTCCCCCAGGGCCTAGTATGGCCGCCCCGGCGAAGTCACCCTTTAGAGGAGTGACACCGCCTATCGAGTGGTGTAGTGGCTAAGTAATTAGTCTTTCGAAACACCGGACGCTGGCTCGATCCCCCAAGTCATGCAGAATTTTTGCTGTTTGGCTGTAGTATCTTATTTTGCATTTTCCGAAGTTCCTAATTTCCTATAAAAATCTTTCATCGTCGTTTTCTATCGGTTAAAATAGGTGTAGAACGTCTGCGGTCCGTTTCATTGAGCTGGTCGAGCTAATACCTCCCTAACTAATATGGTTTTCATCAAATGGATGCTGCCGCAACCGAGAGCAACGCCTAAAAATAGTTCATAGCCAGTTTTTGAACTTCGGAAAAATGCAAAATAAGATACGACAGCCAAAAAGCAAAAATTCTGCATCAAGTGGAGGATCGAACCAGCGTCCGGTGTTTCGAAAGACTAATGACTTAGCCACTACACCACTCGATAGGCGGTCTCCGATCCCCAGAAAGCCCTCATAAAGGTGCGCGCGCAATTTATGCAAAACTTTAAAAGCTCATAACTTTTTTCTCCGTTGTATTTAGCAAATTCTGGTTCGATATTCGGAATCCCCGTCGCCTATAAGATCTACTTATTTTTGACACGAAAGCTCACGCTAAGTTGGTGCACTTCCCTTGTTAGCCCGAAATTCGCAAGAATCTGTGCCATACCTGAAAAACTTTCCACTGTAGTCGCGCTCAATAAATAGAGACTGAGTCTGACTATCTACCACGATTTGGTACGCATCATCGTGGATGCTGAATGTCAGTCGCGCAGCTCGTACTACAATCTGCAAACAGAATTGTGCATGGCAAGGGACAGGGCCGCCGGGCTTTTTCGGCTCCAAAAATTAGCATGTGGCCGAGCTTGTCGGCCCGGCCTCACTTCCGGTGGGGCGGAGGCTTGAGAAAAAGCCCCGAACAAGTCGCTGTCTAATGCTATATTACTATATCCTACTATACCAGCCGCTTACAGCGGCTGGACGTCGGGCTACGCCTTCTGCTCCCTCCCCTCTCTTTCTGAATGGCTTTAGATACTTTAAAGGATTTAAATATTGAATTAAAATAATTAAAAAGTATTAAAGCAACTGAAAAAAGCTATCTCGGCGCGGGAAAGGGCCTGGGAAAGGGGCGTGGCCTCGTTTGATTAAGGCGCCACTTTCAAAGTTAAAAGGCCTTCTGCGAGCGACCCGAACAATGCATGGCACAGTTTTTCTACCCCATTTTTATAGCGTCATCTGAAAGAGCGTGGTCGAATTAGTAGGGTGGTATGGTTTTGGAAGTTTAAAAAGTTTAATTTTGGGGTTAAAATCGGCCGCAATGTTGCCCCTTCGAAAAACTATCTAGAAAACTACTGAACCAAACAGGCCGAAAATTTGGTCAGTGCCTAATTTGGGGTCAGGATCATTTCTCTAATACATTGTGAAGCATGAAAATGGCCGGAACATAGTTAATTGGCGTATTAAAAACAGTTTTTCGAAATTTTCAACATTTTGGGGGGTTTGCGAAAGCTGACCATTACACGAAAAGATGCGCCACATATTTCCGCATCGAATGGTGTATAGCTTATAAAGCGCGAGCCACCCTAAAAATGAGTTTTATTCGCTTTTATGTGTGAAAATGTGGATCAAAATGGCCCCGAAAAATGAAATTTTTTGGTTTCGGAAAATCTGAGATATGGGATGGCATCTAGAGACCAGGAGGAGTCGATTGCAAAAAAGAGCAAAAATAAATTTCGCTCCTGTGAGGGGGCTGGGATTGAACTGGCGCCAGCTCTGGGTTGGCACGCCGACGCCCTACCCATTGCGCCACAGGGCTCCCAGGCGAAGGGTCTGGGTTTGGTTCCGCGACATCGAAGGAAGCTGAATTTCTGTTTGATTTTCCGAAAACCTTTCATTTAAAAATTTTACAAGCAAAAATGTGAAAAATCCTTAACAAAGTGGGTCGAGCTGTGGCGTTCGGGCAATAACTCGGAGCCCTGATCGACTCTCAGCTTCAAAAATGGAACTTCGTAATGCGAACTGAAGGCTTTCCTCCGGGGATCCCCAGTGGCGCCTATTTAATTGCCACTGCCCCGGGATAGCGAAGAGACCATTCCCGCCGCCCTCTCCAATCTCCCCTTTGGCGTATTGGATCAAGGCTCGGTCTAACAGACTGGCGTCAAGAGTTCGGATCCGTGATGAATGCAACTGTTTGCTTTTTGGTAATTCAACAACAAAACGCATTTCTAGGTTGGGCCTGTGCGCGATTTTGGGCCTGGCCTTTGCTTTGGCGCCGTAGGCCAGAGGAGAGACGAGGATCCAGGGCTGCAGACGAAATGGATCCTTAAAGGGGCTCAGAAGTCAAAATTCGTGTGTGCGGGGGTTGAACCTACGGGTCAAAAAAGGAAGGGTCACTGCCGAGAAGTGCCAAAAACGTGATTTGATTGCGAAAAAAACGTAAAATGTTTGAGAAAAACCGAATTCTTTTTCGGGCGAAAACGACTTTTTGAGTGCGCGGCAATTACATGTCGTAATGCGTTGTAAGCAGGCCCGTAGCGGAACCGAAATTTCGGGGGGGGCCCAAAAATTTTGGCGACCTCCCCCCGGTCGTCACTTTTAAAACATCCAAAAAATCGCGTCAATAATAGCGCCGCAGGCAAAAAAATAGCAAAAAAGCGTTCGCTACACTCAAATTCGTCTGAAAACAAGGCAGAAAACGCGCCGCAGGCGAAAATTTTTTATGACAATTGATTCACCAATGAAAAACCAGCGCCGCAGGCAAAAAAAATTGAAAAAATAGGCTTCATATAAGTAAAAACTGTTTGAAAAACAGTAATAAACAGCGCCGCAGGCAGAAAAATTTTTGTAATTAAAAATCATAAGGGTCCCCCCTTATGAATTTTTCAGACCTCGACCGATTTCGGGGGGGGCCCAGGGCCCCCTGGGCCCCCCCCCTCCTACGGGCCTGGTTGTAAGGCACCCAATCTCTCGATCTCGGTGATTGGCCAATTTTCACAATTTAATAGTCTAGAATGATCGAAATTCGTTGAGAATTCCAAAAATACTATCAGAATTTTTAAATTCAAGCGTTTTCGCGTCCAAACAGAGGCAAAAGATCATGCGGCGCGGTCGCGTTGGGGCCGGATCTGGCTATTTGCCAGGAATCACAGCAGGGGGCCGTGGACCATATTTCGGAGCCCCGTTAACCCAAACTCTCGCGCCGCAGGCCCAAGGGAAGTAAAGCCACTAACTAGCGCCGCAGGCTCAAAGATTCTAATGTAGCCCGGGCGTAAGGAAAGCAGCACATCAAATTCATGGTTTCTGGACAGGCTCCAATGAAAAAGGGCCGCGGAGTGGTCTTTTTCCACGGGTTTTTATATAAAGTAGGATCATCTGACCAGCAGCCGATTTTTCGTTTCCGTGACCGAGCCGACCCGGTCGACCCGGGCCCAGTCAAGCTCAAGCCGGGCCCGGCGTCGGCCCTGAGTATTGCAAGCAGCTACTTTGAACCTACGATTATTTCAGGAGATCGAACAATCTCTGCTCGTCCCCTCCTGTTAATTCAAAAGAAACAAACTTTTTGATATTGTGCCGCAGAGGGCCGTTGATCCTCTTCTTTTTCATCTATTGTGCTGCCGAAACATGAGACGAAATCAATCCTATTCGGCATCATGTATCGACGATCAATCGCATTTCTATAATTCTTTGCTTGAAAATATATATTTAGAGAGATGAAAGAAGCTATCTGATCTCTATAAATACCTGAATCGTCGATTAACATGCCGTAGAATGAGATAATGGCTGATTGATAGCTGATCGAGTAGTAGAGAGAAGAGATCATCGCCAAGCCCATCGACAGCAAACATCTTTTATAATAATTGATGATTATATCGGAGACAGTCGAGGACATGATGAGGACATGATGACGAGGACAGATGAACAAAAATTTAGGAGCTATTGATGCTGGGGGGGGGGCTTGTTTTTCTTGAGGCTTGTTCCGGCCTAACTAGGGAAGTGTAAATAAAAAACCCAGCAAACCGCTTAGCAAAACTATGGGTCTGGTAGAGTCGGCGACGGGGATTCCGAAACTGCAATCAGAATTTGCAAAACGCTTAATACAAAAAAAGATATGAGCATTTTAAGTTTTGCAGCACTTGCTCCACTCTCCCTTATGAGCCCCTCCGAAAGAGGGGTGTCCGCTTGTCGAGTGGTGTAGTGGCTAACTAGCCTGCCTGTGGGGCGGAGGGTCTCTGGTTCGAATCGCCTGGCCTCCAAGTCTAGCCTAACCTAAGTCTGACCTAAGCCAGGCCTAGCTTAAGTCTAAGCTTAAGCTCATCGTAAGAAAGCTCTAGGCTAAGCCTTAGCTAACAAGGAGACGTTTTTGAGTGTCGTCGGGACTTTGGCGCGGGACCAAGCCTATCTTGTGCAGAATTTTACGCTGATTCCGAATATGTTAACCGTTTTTGCGGAATAGCCATTTCTCGAAAGTTATGATTGATTTAAACCTCAAAACAGCCCAAAATCGGCTACTTTCGATAGTCATAAAAGGCTTCGGAATTGGTTTTAGACAAAACTTGATACTACATCTTGTTCAGAAAAAAATTCTCTATAAAATAAGCTACTTAACTCAAAAATGCTGGAATTTTGAAAATTTTTGTAAAATTATGGACCTCCCAATTTATCAAATTTTTCCAACTTTTCAATGATTTTGGAAAAGATGGTACATTTTATAGAGAATTTTTTTCTGAACAAGATGTACTATCTGGTTTTGTCTAACCTATTTTGAAGCCTTTTATGACTATCGAAAGTAGCCTATTTTGGGCTGTTTTGAGGTTTAAATCAATCATAACTTTCGAGAAATGGCTATTCCGCAAAAACGGTTCACATATTCGCAATCAGCGTAAAATTCTGCACAAGATAGGCTTGGTCCCGCGCCAAAGTCCCGACGACACTCAAAAACGTCTCCTTGTAAGCCAGATCCAAGCCTAAATCTACCTAAGAAGCGAAGCAAGCCTAAATATATTTACCCCTCCCCCCCAGCCGGAAACTCCCAAAATTTTTTTCAGGCTATCAATCGGTAGCCCTAGGTCTCCCGCTACTATCCGCTGACCGGCAATTGCGCAAAAATCAATATTAAAATTTCTACAATTAAAATAGTGTTTGGGCGGTTATTCGGATTTTGCTTGTTTTGGCCATAACTATATTATTTTTGATTATTTTAGGTTATAATTAAAAATCTACTATATATAAATTTCTAATGTCCGTCTGCCCGACCGTCCGTACACGAATTCAAATGGTCTGAGTATATTTTTTTGAAGCTCTCTCGAGTGGCGTTAAAGAAATTTTGTAAAAGTGTCAAAAATGTCGAAAACTAGCTTTGCACCTCCTGTTCCTATAGGGGAATCGCGTTTAAAGCATGTTTTTGCTGTAACTATTTTATATTGCACCAGCGCTCGCCCCTCCCCCCCCCCCCCCCCGCTACGCGGGGGTTCAGCGCTGGCCCTTTCCATCCGTCAATTTGAATTTGGAATTTATGCAGAATTTGGCTGAATTCCTGGACGCGGGTGGACGGACATTAGAAATTTATATATAGTAGATAGTAGACCAGCGGTGATCCCCGCTACGCGGGGGTTCAGCGCAGGCCTCCCCCCCCCACAATTAGAATTTTGAATTTGAATGCAAAATTTGGCTGAATTCCCGGTCAGTCGGACGAACGGACGGACATTAGAAATCAACTATAATAAACGGGCTGTGGTGTCTGTGTGTGTGTGTGTGGTCCCGGATTCAACTCGAAGGGGAAAGGAGCTAGAGCTTAGCTCTCTTCGGATTCGGATAGAGCGTAGTCGGAAACCCCCAAACTGATAAAAAAATTATGAAAAAAAGTTTTAGTTTAAATTATTAAAATTAACTTTGAAAGTTTTTTCCTTAGTAAAAGGAGTGGGGGACCGAGGTTGGGGTGATTTTGGACATAGTGAGCCAGGTGGCGCGCGTTTCGCGGATGAAAATTTTCACGGGAGCCATTTCATTTCTTTTTTCTCCCACGTATCCGGTCGGTTGTTATTTTCGTTTTTTAAAGGGAGTTCGGCTAGGGGAGCTATCTGGAACCATCCAGAAGGTATCTAGGTAGTTTTTGAAGGGGATGTCGGCCATGGGGGGGGGGGGGAATCTGAAGCGGTTCGCGTGGGTATTGATGGAAGTAGGGAAGGATGTGGTGGAGTAGGACATGTAGGGTTGCCCGAAGGCCAGATGGTTGCAGTCGCGAAGCGACTGTACCCATCTGGTTTATATATAGTAGATAGTAGATAAATAGATATATAACAGGGTTGAACCGCATGCTGTTCTACGCTTTGCATAATTGCGCTGAATTCAGATGACCAAAAAATGAAAATGATTGGCTTCTGACCCTTTATATAGGCGGCTTCCTACTTCCGGTCAATGCTAATTTTTCCTAGCGAAGAGGGTTTTACAAAAAATAAAATTTAATATCGAAAATGGCTGATTTTTATAAATCTGATATTTGGGCAGTCATCCCTAGACCATTACGCACATAATGACGTATCGTACCCACCCCTAACTTCTTCCCCTATAGAGATACGACTGGAACAACGATACGGAAGTGGATGCAAAGTGGCACACACACACACTATTTTTTTGGCTCAAGTCTAGGAAACCCCCCCCCCCCCCCCCCCCAACCGACTTTTCAACTTTTCTACCTACCTTATTTTTATTTTTCGCTACTTTTTTCGACTGAACTGCAATGTAGTCTTACTAATTAGCCTACGGGGAACATCTTGGTATACTTTAGAGCTCGCTAGCACAAAGGGGGGCCGAGATACAAAAGTTGGTGCCGGCTGGGGGGGGGGGGTTTCTAGACTCTTACCATTTTTTTATATATAGTGGGATCTACTATATATAAATTTCTAATGTCCGTCCGCCCGTCCGTACACGAATTCAGCCAAATTTCCCATTCAAATTGTGGGGGGATGGAAGGCCAGCACCGAACCCCCGCGTAGCGGGGGTCAGCGCTACCTATCTACACTGGTGGGCATAATTATAAAGGCAGTCAAAAACCTTCGGAAATCTCAATTTCTCGAAATTAACCCTCGGAATCAGGAAAGAAACTGCAATCTTCAATGAGGCAGAGCTTCAATTCATCGAGTAAGCCGCGCTCGGGGTAAGTTTTGACGACTTGGAGCCGGCTTCCCGAGTTGGTAAGCCGACCCTGCTAACCAGAATGTGATGGAAAAGGCTTCCGGCTTCATGATACGCAAAATTCAACCTGAGTACCAAGGTCGCAAGTCGGAACAATCGAATTTCTGATCACCACACCTAACCGAACAAAAAGTTGTGGCGAAACCGTAATCTGTGCTACTACCGCGGTCTTTTCCATCTGGTTCTACAGAATGGTGCAGGCAAAGGTTATTGGAATAGTTTTTATCAATTTTGTAACGAATTCCGAATTTTAAGAAAATTTTCTCGAAAGTGCCTTTATAATTATGTCCAATTTTCAAACCGATTTTTCGGCAAAAATCGTCGTAAAAAAATTTCTTGTCGTGGATTCTCAAAAACACTTCAGGGTATCAATTTGCAATGAGATCTCTAAAAGGGACCTTTTTCCGAAAACCTCGAGAAATCTAAATTTCCGAAATTTTTTGACTGCCTTTATAATTACGTCCACCAGTATATATATATATATATATATATATATATATATATATATATATATATATATACAGTGTGTGCCAAAATGATAGGGGAATGGAGTTTTTAGACGTTTTCTCGGCCGTCCTCCATCTCCGTGTACAACCAAACCATAGGCCTTATAGCCCGAAAAAAGACGCGTCTTTTGGTTTACTTGAATTCTCATTACGATAAAAGATCACTTTTTTAGAAGCGATTGTATAAAAATAAGGAAAAAACACAAGTGACAAAATGATAGGGGAATGATTAACATATTATTTCCATGAACTTTCTGTATGAATAGTGGATGTTGATTGATTTTAATTACAAATTCCTTGCAGGCGAAGATGTAAAAATCGTAATTTCTGGCCAAAATTCCGACCGGAAGTGGTCAGTCAAAATTTGCATCTAATTAGCATCTAATATTCATACTGAGAGTTGATGTTAACGATATGTTAATGATTCCCCTATCATTTTGTCACTTGTGTTTTTTCCCTATTTTTATTCAATCGCTTGTAAAACTGTTATCCTGTATCGTAGAAGTATTTCAAGTAGACCAAAAGATGCGCGTTTTTCCGGACTACAAAACCTGTAATTTGGTTTTACAGCTACATGCAAAATCGCGAAGAAATCGACCAAAAATTTCATTCCCCTATCATTTTGGCACACACTGTATATAGTAGCTTATTTTGGGCTAAAATTAAAACTCTTAGTATATTTTTGACGCTCTAGCGAATAACGTCGAAAATTCCGAAAAATAGCGTAAATATTGAAACTTTGCGAACCTGGGGCTGGGGGAGGGGGGCAAAGTAAACCGTGGCCCCACGATCTATCGATTTTCTATTTGAAACTGGGCACGCCACGGAATTATATGGGCAAACGCTCGAAATTAACGCCTGCCCTCGGGGTGATTTGTTACCCTGGTTAATTGGAATACTTGGCGTTACCGCGCAAGCCACATGAAAAAGTCTACTGATGCCACCAAAAAGTCAAGGGTTTTCGGGGGTCAAAGATGCGAGAGAGTGCGAACGCCACGGAGGGTCCAGACCAGGGACGTGGGAGGGGAGCGCCATTTTTGCCATTTGCTAGCTCAGCCGGACGGAGCCCCCAACGCCAGGATCTCCTATCATCCTCTTGATGATCTTGGACATCTGCTCGGAGGAGATTGAGTCCGATCCACTGACCCGACGGACCGACTATGGCCAGGATTTCTTATCATGCCTCTGCAACTCCTCCCTTGACATCTGCACATCTGCGCAAACTGGTTTTTCAAATATCAGGTTGGAACGAAAGTTCTGTCGCCGAGAGTAGTATATATTGCGGCAGACCCCCCACCCCCTTAGTGCCAGCCGGAGCATGCAGTTACCGGCGCATCTAACCTCTCTATACTGTGTGTGCAGGTGTGAGAGAGAGCGAGGGAGAGAGAAAGAGAGGGAGAGAGAGAGAGCGCGAGGGAGAGAGAGAGCGAAAGAGAATGCGAGAGAGACGAGAGGGAGAGAGAGCGAGATAGAGAGATAGAGAGAGAGAGAGAGAGAGAGAGAATGAGAGTGTGTGTGCGAGAGTACCGTGATGCGCAACTTGTTGGCAGTTGTCTTGGCTTGTCGAGCTCCAAAAAAGGGGATCAATAGAAAATACCAGAAAATGGGATTTTTGCATTTTTTTACAGTCGGAATGAGGCCCGGGCCCCCGGAACGGACTCCAGGCCGCAAGGAGACCCCGATATTATCATTAAATCGTACTTACTATTATACTACTATTACTACTATTACTTACTATTATATCAGGTTGGAAGGTAAGTCCTGTCGCCGAGATTTTGGAAGGCTGGCTAAATTCGTAGATAGCTCCATTCTGCACATGCGATATGTCATTTTGTAGCTCTCTTCCTGAACCGTTTCGGGAGGAGGGTCATAGCCCGCCAAAATCGAGGAGGACCGAGATACGGGCCCAAGAAAAGTTTTTGGAAAAATTGGGCGAAAGTGTTCTTGCAAGTTATCTCTGCATAAAGACATTTGCATGCGATACCTTTAACGCCAATCAATAGCTCTTGAGGAGTAGATATCGATAGATCTTCAGATCATCAAAATTGGACACTGCATGGCCCAGATATGCCCCTTTGAAATTTGGACGATTTCTTAGAACTTTTCTCGAAATTCCATACATTTCGCTGGATTTGACCGGCAGGTGCCGAAAATTGCCGCTTTATTTTTGGACGCGCCGAGCGGATTTTGACCAAATGTATGGGATTTTGAGAAAAGTTCTAAGAAATCGTCCAAATTTCAAAGGGGTATATCTGGGCCATGCAGTGTCCAATTTTGATGATCTCAAGATCTATCGATATCTACTCCTCGAGAGCTATCGATTGGTGTTAAAGGTATCGTATGCAAATCACTCTATGCAGAGATAACTTGCAAAAACACTTTCGCCCAATTTTTCCAAAAACTTCTTGGGCCCGTATCTCGGTCCTCCTCGATTTTGGCGGGCTAGGACCCTCCTCCCGAAACGGTTCAGGAAGAGAGCTACAAAATGACATATCGCATGTGCAGAATGGAGCTAAGTACGATTTTAGCCAGCCTTCCAAAATCTCGGCGACAGGACTTACCTTCCAACCTGATACTTTAAAGCGGCCTTACAAGGGAAGGGCACGCTCACAGGGTGGAGTTTCGAAAAACGCTCGCGGCTACCCCTGGGTAATCGACTACGGAGAACACGATGCCGTCGTCCGATTTTGCTACGGAGGCCTGTGGACAGAGATACAGCACTTCCGGAAAATCACAATTTGCATGCGAAAAATTAGCATTTCAGGGAAGCCTTATTAGGCTCTCCCATCAGTATGGAACCATCAGTTGAATGGCCTAGTGGTAAGCAACTAGCTTGATAGGATTGTGACCAGGGTACGGATTCGCTCACTATTTTTTCGTTTTGCTTTTTGACAACTTTTTTTGCACAAGTCCAGAACATGTCCTAAATGTGTCAAAAGTCATCCTTGATGCCGTATGAAATGCTAAACGAACAAAGACAAACTTTTTCGAAAAATTTCATTTTTCCGACCCGCCACCCATCCACCCATCGGCTTGTCAGTCGATCGAAAATTTAAAAAACTTTTTCAAGATCGTTTTCCGGCCAATTTTACCCGGACCCTGCAATCCAAACAAGCGGGCCAACTGTGGCCTCTGCAAAAACTGGACCCCCAAAAAATTTTTGAAGTTGCATTTTTGAAGGTGGATGGGTGGCGGGTCGGAAAAATGAATTTTTTCGAAAAAGTTTGTCTTTGTTCGTTTAGCATTTCATACGGCATCAAGGATGACTTTTGATTAGGACATGTTCTGGACTTGTGCAAAAAAAAGTTGTCAAAAAGCAAAACGAAAAAATAGTGAGCGAATCCGTACCCTGGTCACAATCCTATCAAGCTAGTTGCTTACCACTAGACCATTCAACTGATGGTTCCATACTGATGGGAGAGCCTAATAAGGCTTCCCTGAACTGCTAATTTTTCGCATGCAAATTGTGATTTTCCGGAAGTGCTGTATCTCTGTCCACAGGCCTCCGTAGCAAAATCGGACGACGGCATCGTGTTCTCCGTAGTCGATTACCCAGGGGTAGCCGCGAGCGTTTTTCGAAACTCCACCCTGTGAGCGTGCCCTTCCTTTGTTAGTGACAGTCTCAACACGCAAAAGACCCCCGCACTAGAGCCAAGCTTCAACATGCAGAAGGCCCGCGGCATAGCGAAGCTTCAACATGCAGAAGACCCCGCAGCATAGCGAAGCTTCAACATGCAGAAGACCCCGCAGCATAGCGAAGCTTCAACATGCAGAAGACCCGCGGCATAGCGAAGCTTCAACATGCAGAAGACCCGCGGCATAGCGAAGCTTCAACATGCAGAAGGCCCGCGGCATAGCGAAGCTTCAACATGCAGAAGACCCGCGGCATAGCGAAGCTTCAACATGCAGAAGACCCCGCAGCATAGCGAAGCTTCAACATGCAGAAGACCCCGCAGCATAGCGAAGCTTCAACATGCAGAAGACCCGCGGCATAGCGAAGCTTCAACATGCAGAAGACCCGCGGCATAGCGAAGCTTCAACATGCAGAAGGCCCGCGGCATAGCGAAGCTTCAACATGCAGAAGACCCGCGGCATAGCGAAGCTTCAACATGCAGAAGACCCCGCAGCATAGCGAAGCTTCAACATGCAGAAGACCCGCGGCATAGCGAAGCTTCAACATGCAGAAGGCCCGCGGCATAGCGAAGCTTCAACATGCAGAAGACCCGCGGCATAGCGAAGCTTCAACATGCAGAAGACCCCGCAGCATAGCGAAGCTTCAACATGCAGAAGACCCGCGGCATAGCGAAGCTTCAACATGCAGAAGACCCGCGGCATAGCGAAGCTTCAACATGCAGAAGACCCCGCAGCATAGCGAAGCTTCAACATGCAGAAGACCCGCGGCATAGCGAAGCTTCAACATGCAGAAGGCCCGCGGCATAGCGAAGCTTCAACATGCAGAAGACCCGCGGCATAGCGAAGCTTCAACATGCAGAAGACCCCGCAGCATAGCGAAGCTTCAACATGCAGAAGACCCGCGGCATAGCGAAGCTTCAACATGCAGAAGACCCGCGGCATAGCGAAGCTTCAACATGCAGAAGACCCCGCAGCATAGCGAAGCTTCAACATGCAGAAGACCCGCGGCATAGCGAAGCTTCAACATGCAGAAGACCCCGCAGCATAGCGAAGCTTCAACATGCAGAAGACCCGCGGCATAGCGAAGCTTCAACATGCAGAAGACCCCGCAGCATAGCGAAGCTTCAACATGCAGAAGACCCGCGGCATAGCGAAGCTTCAACATGCAGAAGACCCCGCAGCATAGCGAAGCTTCAACATGCAGAAGACCCGCGGCATAGCGAAGCTTCAACATGCAGAAGACCCGCGGCATAGCGAAGCTTCAACATGCAGAAGACCCCGCAGCATAGCGAAGCTTCAACATGCAGAAGACCCCGCAGCATAGCGAAGCTTCAACATCCAGAAGACCCGCGGCATAGCGAAGCTTCAACATGCAGAAGACCCCGCAGCATAGCGAAGCTTCAACATGCAGAAGACCCGCGGCATAGCGAAGCTTCAACATGCAGAAGACCCCGCAGCATAGCGAAGCTTCAACATGCAGAAGACCCGCGGCATAGCGAAGCTTCAACATGCAGAAGACCCCGCAGCATAGCGAAGCTTCAACATGCAGAAGACCCCGCAGCATAGCGAAGCTTCAACATGCAGAAGACCCCGCAGCATAGCGAAGCTTCAACATCCAGAAGACCCGCGGCATAGCCAGGCTTCAACATGCAGAAGACCCCGCAGCATAGCGAAGCTTCAACATGCAGAAGACCCGCGGCATAGCCAGGCTTCAACATGCAGAAGACCCCGCAGCATAGCGAAGCTTCAACATCCAGAAGACCCCGCAGCATAGCGAAGCTTCAACATCCAGAAGACCCCGCAGCATTAAGAAAAGCATGAGCCGCTTCGAGTGCTTCTTTAGGTGCCATTGGTGCCTCGCCCCAGATGATCAGGTCGATCTCAGCGAGCGCTCGTGCTTCAATGCTTTGCCTTTTCAGGCTGGATTCCTTGTTGTTGGTCTTGATCAACAGCCGGAAGGCAGTGCTGACTGTTCGTCCTTCTTCCAAAAGGTTGGCGGCAATACCTGTCCACGCTACCGAGAGAATCTTCTTGCCCATACCGGATAGAATGTGGTAGATGGTTTGGTAGACAAAGGTTTTGCCGCTTCCCCCCGGACCGTCAATGAAGAAGCACTGCCCACTTGGGTCTGCGACCTCGGCCAAGACCTCATCCGTCGCTCTCAGTTGTTCCGGGTTCAATTACAAGTATTTGTCGTTCCCCAGTCGAGCATGCTCAGCGGGATCAACAACGACGATGTCAATGTCGTACTTTGGCAAATTGAGTTGGAAAAACGGACTGTCTCTGACCCGAGAACTGTCAGATCTTCGACAATTTCCCAGTAGGCCTTTGACTCAGAGACTTGGATGGAAAGTCCGCGAGCAAGGAAGTCCTGCATTAGGTCGTTCTTGAAGCGTTCCCAGAACGCCACAGGGTCCTGCACGTCAGCGAAGCAGATCAGGGAAGAGAAGAAGCTGCGAAGTTCTCTAGGCAACCGCACATCGGCGGCTTCCTGCATCGTAGCTGGGTTCACAGAGTCATCGTTCATGCTGCTTTGGCGGCCTCAAAATAGGTGTTGTATTGAATGCCGTTGATGGTGCGCAGTTGTTCGAAGCTCCTGGGGACTTTTGTATAGAGCAAAAGCAGTCTCATGGCAAAACGTTCCGTGTCTCGTGGAGAGACATGGTCCATCCGGCCAATCACCCGCGACGCATTCTTTCGTTGCACCCATTTGCCTTGAACGATACGATATTTTTCTGGCATTTGGCCATAGACAAATTCTCTGGAATCTAAGACCTTCTCTGCGTCTCTCCTTCTCCCGATCTGCAGACACTTTTGGCCGTTAACCGTGACCGTCCTTGCTCCGGTGTCCTCCAAAAGCTGCATATGCGTGTTGATGGCAAAGAATGCGCTCAGCGTTGTCTTATGAGTGCGAGCTCTATTCAGTGCCGCCTGTGCATCTTCTGGGTCAAACACCACATTTTCAAATCCGTCAAGATGTACTTGGAGTCGGATGACTTTGTCGCTCTTCTTTTGCATGGGAAATGCGAAAAGACGATGGCAAGCTTCGGGAGCGCACAAATAACGACCTTGTATGTGCCGTTCGATCTCATTGACCGGTCCAAGTTCATCATTGTTTGCATATCGAAGTTGGAAGCGAGCTCTGTCCGTACCCTTATAGACGTATTTGAAAAGGTATTTGACCGAGTCGAAGGAGAAGCAGCATTCGAGATTGATGTGAGCACCAAACCGAAGCAGGAGGTAAGGGTTGTAAGGCACGACGTGACGGTTGTCAAGTACGACACCCACCCGGTTCAGTCCAGTTCAGTTCAGTCAGTACAGTCCTTCCCAGGTCTCGGCGTCTGTATTTTGGATAACCGTCCGGAATCAAAGTGGTATCTCTGAATTCTTTTTGAAATACTTTAGTACATGTATTGTCTTGCATGCAGGTCGACGAAGGATTATGGGCACCGCAAGGCCGATGGATCATATTGGTCGAAACCAATTGAAACAATTCAGGATTTGTGTCGGAATCAGGGAGCTCAGCTGAGATGATGCTATCAACTTCGTCAGATGTTCTGAGCTTTGAATCCTCTTTCAAAAATAGGACCATATGACGGTGCGGAAGCCCTCGTTTCTGGAATTCAATCACTCAAACATAGGCGGCCATTTCTCCGAGGATGTGCTTTTTGAAAAGTTCCTCATCGAATGCTCTCATTTTCAATTCGAACACTCTTGCAACCAAATCTGGACGATCAATTGCAGTCTGGCCTGGGTAAAGACCATCCTGAATTTCTCGCCAGTTCGGATTGCAAGTGATGGTCAAAAAAAGATCTGGGCTGGTACCAAAGTCGATCTAACCCCCCCTATCTAAGGGGGGGGTTAGATCCAATCTAAGGGGGGTACTAGATCATCTAACCCCCCCCGTTAGATGATCTAGTGCCCCCTTCGATCGGAAAAAGGCGGGAACGAGAGATTTCAAATTTTCGAACGATTTCCGCGCAAGTCGATTTCTATTTTTTGTTTTTCGTTCTTTCGCGGATTATTCCGTTAGATTTTTGTCAAAGGCAGCTAAATCCTCTTGTTTTCAGATGACTTTGACGCTTTACCACGTCATGGACCCGATCCAGAAGCACCTACTCACCCGGCGTCAATTTCTCAGGAGATATCGACTACCCGTGATGAAATTTCGTCGATTGGCACGGATCCTTGCACCCATGTTGACGACGAACGCGAATACACGGCTAACGCCAATCGTGAAACTCGCGGTCGAGGTAACTGGGTGATCGAGGTAAGTCAATTTTTTCTTAGCCTAACGGGCTCGTCTAGGTATTGCAACTCGCCGGCGATCCGCCCACCCCGACGTTCCAATAGCCGCCGCCAAAATCTTCAAAAAATAATCTAGTCAATCCGTTTCACGTTAAAACTTTCCCCGGATCTCATTCTTTATTTGTTTTTCGTCGTAGGATTGTTCTTCAAATTCGAACCGTCTAGTCATTTTGTTTTGTTGTTCATTGATTTAATTCGTCTCTTATCGCGCTTTGTCACATAAAAATATATGAAAGGCCAAGCACACATTATGCCGGGAATGACATACTTATATATTTAAGATGCATGACGCCTTGTCAAAGTCCGAAAACCATTTTTGACATCGAAAAGTTACACCAAAAATTCGTCAAAAATAGTCCAAGCCCCCCTTAGATGATCTAAGTATAGTTTTTTCTTTTAGATCGTCTAAAGGGGGGGCTTAGATTGCTTTCCGGGCATTATCGGAAGCTTCGGCCAAAATTGGCTTTCGGGGTCAATGACATCGAATTCTCCGTATTTCTTTTCATCGGATAGGCATTTGTCGAAAACCCTAAAATCTTTAACTTTTTCTTTAAATATATTCGAAATTTTGGTTTCTAACCCCCCCTTTTGACCGCTTGTATCTAACAGGGGGGTTTTAGATCATCTAATACCCTTACTAGATCGTCTAAGGGGGGTACTAGATCATCTAGTGGCCCCCTTAGGTCTTCCCAGCGTGTCAGCGCAAAATCTATCCACAGCGCTGCTGTTTTGAAAGCGCCATCGGATAGAGGCGGTTTTTATGTTCCAGAAAACCCAGTTCCAAAAAAAATTCGCTCAGAAGGCGCCGCGTTACGGTCCAAACCATTTGGGCCGTAAAGGGGCCCTTAGATCATCTAAAGGGGGGTTTAGATCATCTAAGGGGGGCTAAATCGACTTTGGTACCAGCCCTGGCTTTCCGTACTTGGTCATAATGGCCACTGAATCCTGATAGTGTCCGACGGAATTTCGACCACTGCCTTGATGACCGGCACCCAAAATAATCTTTCTGCCTGCAGGACCTTGACCATGGGAATTCATGTGTTCGGTGAGGCCACGGACCGTATCCAGCCGAAGTTCACGCTGGTGAGTAAGATAATAATTAAGCCTATTCTGCTCAGTCTTGGCGAAGGCATCCACGTAATACTGTTGGCAAAGTTTGCCGCCGTGGTGGATAGGATTGAAGCCTTGCCTGACGAACACATTATAGGCGAAATATTCTCTTTGAGATACCCGGTTCGGCCGACCGTCATCGGCAATAGCCGGTTCGTCATCGTCAGAGTTACCACGACGGCCAGCATTTGCCACTTGCTTCGGAATGTTAGGGTGCCACCCCTCTCCACCGCGAGATTTGCCACTTGCTTCGGAATGTTAGGGTGCCACCCCTCTCCACCGCGAGGGAAGAAGAGAGGATAACAGAGTTCGCACTCTTTCTGCAAGTAGTGGATCTGCCTGAGGCCGCCGTCTCGCTCGTGGATATAGAACACGCGCTCGCCGGGTATCGGCTCATCGTCACCAACGTAAACAACGGCAATCTCATTGGATGTAGGCGCATTGAACCGTCTTTGGTCGTCCCTTTTATCTGTTCGAAAGACCAACTGCGCTGAAAGAGCCTCCCGCCCATCGGCAGCTGCTTGATCAGATTCCTCTTTTGACACCTCTGCCATCATCATCAATGATTGAACATATATATTGACGTTTTGCAAGGGGAGATGGAGGTTGGCAAAGAGGCCTTGATCGCAGTGCCGATTGATGGCACGACCGGCTAACTCGTTGACCGCTTGCTCGGTGTCCATAATATACAGGGTGGCTGAAAAGTTCCCGCAATTTTTTCAGTCATTTCAACGGACCGAAAGTTCCTAAAATTTGAATAACGGAGGGAAACCAAGATAATATATCCTACTATATATAAAAAACCAGTGGAAAAAGACCGCTTCGCGGCCATTTTCCACTGGACCCCGTCGAGGAACCATGAATTTGAATACCTTCGTCTTTTAGCCTGCGGCGCAAGAACCTGAGTAATGGCGCCATTCTTTGGCCTGCGGCGCTAGAGCCAGCGTTCCGCTAGAACTTTTGAGCCTGCGGCGCTAGTTACTGGTTTTTCCTCGGGGATTTGGCCTGCGGCGCGAGAGCCTGGGTCAAGGACCTTCTCTTGGGCCTGCGGCGCTTGAGCGAGGGTCAGGCCTAAACCGCGCACACCGAGAGCCTAGAAATATGTTTTGTTGCCAAACTACCAAAAAGCAAAAAGTTGTATTTGCCCAGGATCCCAACCCACGACCATTCGGGTGGTAGGCCAGACGCAATTCCACTACACCACGGGGGAGATGGGAACAGTCCTCTACCACTTTGGGCAAAAACCGACGGGCGCTGGTCCCAAAAACGGTTCTGAGCGCTGGTCTAAGGGCTAGTAATATCGCATTTTTTCGGCGCCTTCGGCGCCTTTGATCACCCCCTGATTATAAGGCCC